AACTTTGTACCAATTTTTTACATACAGGGCATCTTATCCACTATTAACTAGGAGGAGTTAAATAGCATTATTCGGTCTGTACAGATCTCAAAGCACTTCACTGCAGCATAGTAATTTCTTCAACCCCACTTTCTAAAGGTGAGGGGTTTGAAGGGGGAGGGAGGTGGCTCCTTTTTGGTTGATTAGGTTTTTTGTGTGGGTTTGGGTTGGTTTTGGTTGGTTGGTTAGTTGGTTGGTTTGGAGGGTTTTGATTAGGATGTTTTGGGGTTTTTTTGAGAAAGTTGTGAGTTTTCCTAAACTGAAGATGTGGAGAAACAGCTCGGTAAGAGATACAGGAGGAGAACCTGCAGAAAGGCTTTAGAATAAATTTCCCTGACAGTGAGTCTTGCATGCAGCTGAGGCAATGCAAATATGGCAGGCCACGTGCAAACGCTGCAAATCACAGCACCAATGCTGGGCTTAGAACTGACCTCGGCAGCAAGTGCTACTTCACTTCCAGGAAAGTGGAATATAAACAGAACACAAACAGAAAAAACAAGATTTTTTTTTTTTTAAAGCAAGTAACCAGTAGAGCATCTGCAGCTTCATCAGCAGGAGCAGTGACTCTCCCGAGCGGTTCTCCTCTCCTCTCCTCTCCTCTCCTCTCCTCTCCTCTCCTCTCCTCTCCTCCCCTCCCCTCCCCTCCCCTCCCGGGTCACCGGGAGCATCCGGGCCCGGGGAATGCCGAGCACTGGCGGGGCCGGGCAGGGGGACACCGGGGCCATCCCCCTTGGAGGGTGGGGGATGGATGCGGACCCCCGGGGCAGCATGGCGGTCCCCCCTCCCCTGGAAGCGGCGCCGCTCCTCACGGGGTCCTTCTGTGACCTCCGCGGCCGTCGTGAGGCCCCTGGGCAGGTTCGAGCTCCCGAGGGCTTTGTGCTTGTGATGGAACATCCAAAGTGCACTCAGGACTTCTGGGATGTCCTGGGGGAGCCGAATTCCGGCTGAATGATGAAAGTTCTAATAAAAGGGCAGGGACAAAAAGACAATATAAGGAAACTACAAAATTACAAATGAAACAATAAACTTACTAATAAAATAAAACCACACCACAACAGAAGGAAGGGTGTTAGGAGAAAAGACTTTTTATGCAGACAAAACACTTAATTCAGGATCAAAATTAAACTTTATGCTTTTGGTCCCCTTCCTCCAACACAATCTCTTTGTGTCCTTGCTCACCAGCTTTTAGCAGGGGGGTCAGCAACCCAAAGAATTAAACAACAGCCCCTGTTTCAAACTGCAGCAGTCACTTCAGTGACCCTGAACTGCCACCCAGGCACATGTGTGAGTGTGAAAAGCAAGTGGGTTGCAGGGACAGAGGTCTCACCCCCTGTGAAAGCTGAGAGGAAATCAGAAGTGGCAAAATGTCATTTCAGCTCAACCTCTGACCAAATTGTTCACCTTCCACCTGTAGGCCCCTACAAAATGGCCAGGCAGAGCTGGACTCTAGCAAGGTTCCGTTTGGAGTGCTTTGTGCCCCTGGCATGAAGGTGATCAAAAAAGCTATAGCGTGTATTGGTTGGAAAATGGATACTGAAGGAATAAAGGGATTGTGGGGGATAGGGAAGTCTCTTCTTGCCTCTCCTTTCTATCCCCAGGAGCTCCTCATGAAGAGAAATGCTTACCCTGGGTTTACACCTGACACCACCCCACGCATCCACCCCTTCCTTCACCTGTGTCTGATCCATTCTGCGGACTTCATTAGCTAAACTAAGAGGAGTCCCAGTATCAATCAACACAGACCACAGAGAGATAAATACAATGAAGAAAGAAGATTACAAATCTTTCTTCAGGGGTAGAATTTGAGAATTGTATCTTTCAGAAGTTTATAATTTACTCTAGTAAACCACAAAACACTAAACAAAGGCTATGAATCTTAAACAGAACAAAAAAAAAAACCAACAACAACAACAACAACAAAAAACAACCAAAAAAAACCCCCACAAATAAACAAACAAAAAAGAACCCCAAAAAACCAAACAAACCAGGGGATGTGAGAGCACAGGGATCAATAAACCATGGCCCTGGACCACAGGGATACCCTGTAATCCATAAACTCCTGGCAATCTGTGGCAAACACTGAAGGCTAAACCATCAACCCTAAGCAATAACCACTAAAGCTGGGTGAAAACCTGGAAATGCTGCAACTGGTGTTTTACAACTTTCTTTGGAGGTGGAGAACACAGCAGAGAACAGTGTGTTCTGGCTGTCAGATATTGGTTTTGAGAAGTTTTATACGCTATTACACCTAGATTCTCTTAACATCCTGTGTAGGGTGTGGTGGATCTCTGGCACAGCATCAGCCCCACTGATGGCATCGTGGTCCCCCCACATATTTTCCACATCCCTTTGTTGAAATGGGTGATGAGCAACAGCCAAGGGTCTGTCACAGCTGGAGAAATGCAGATTTACCACTGTAGAGAAGACCCTTCTGGGCTGCAGGGGCCACATTTGCCACAGGGATCAAAGACACAGGGACTCAGAAGTGGCATCTCCCACTTTTACATAGAAGCTTGATGGTTCTCTATACTTATGTCTGATTTTCATTAACTTTCTTAGCTGCCCAAATGGCCAGCACTTTCACACTCTTTAAGTGCCGTTCAATTGGCTGCAGAGGAGACAGGGCATAACTGAAAAGCTGAAAATCAGGAGACTGGACTGTATTTTTCTAAAATGATGCAACTTCCCCTCCTGGCTATCTTTGATGTTCCTATGCCTATAAAACTTCTGCAATTTCAGAGATGCTCACAACTAATTATATTATTAAAATTCCTGACACCTGTATTAAACAGTAATTAATTTTTCTCACAACATTCCACAGTGTACACCATTATTATCATCCTGTAAGGCTTGAGCTGTACCATATCCATGTGTACACACTTCCCTTCCCTAAGACATTAGCATATCCATCAGCATGATGGCAATGTTTTGGAAGCACTCCATAAGTAGTCGCCATTCCCATAGATGTTCTATTTGTGAATGTTCTATTTCCTGAATATGTTTGAAAATTGCATCCTGAGTGTGATTTCAATGCTACACACGTTCTGTTGGAAAAACAATTGCGCCCTTGTAGGAAAACGTGAATTTCAGTATTCCAAAGCAAAAATCCTGAGAGCGAATGAAGACCATCTCCAGAATGCCTTTTACTACGTTTGACACTTACTGCTAGGAAGTTCTTATTTCGAAAACTTCAAGAAATACTGCATTAATCATATTAGAGTGATAATACTTCAAGAAGAAGCTGTAAGTAACACAGTTAAACAGCTTAATGCTACAGTTGTAACTTAAGCTGTTCTCATGTATTACTGCCATTGTGATTGATACAGTTTGCACACTCTGTAGCTTTTCAGATTCATAACAGTGTAGTTATTAACCAGGATTTTGATTCAGCTATTTTTATAATGCATGCATAAAGATGCAAAATGGCAAATCGGAGATAATTATAATTGCTCCAGCAAGTACTAAAGCATCCGTAGCCAAAGAAAGTCACCATCTTGCAGCAAAATGCTTAAAACAAAACAGGTAAAAATAAATGTAAATAAGGTATTAGATTTTGGATTAATGGATAATAGAGGAAATTCTTAAAAATGACAAAGCAACACTGCCATCTTGAGGTAACTAGAGAATTAAAGGAAGAGGAAAGCCACAGACAGTGCTCTCTCAAAGCATTTTACTTTTAAATACAGAAATGTGTGTTCCAAGAGAAAAAAAAAAGACTCTAAAGCCATTTTCTTACCTTGGTCGTTTTAAAAACAAAGCATTTGTAAACGCCAGCCCTTTCACGAGATGGTTAGAGGGATGGAGCACCACCCCAATTAGGAAAGGTTAAGAGAATTGAGATTGTTCAGCCTTGAGAAGGCGCTGGGGAGACCTAACTGTGGCCTTCCCATACCTGGACAAAGCCTACAAGAAAGATGACAGTCTGTTTACAAGAGCATGTTGTGACAAGACAAGGGGAAATGGCTTTTAACCGAGAGTAGGTTTAGACTAGAGTCTAGGAAGAATTTCTTTGCTGTGAGGGTGGTGAGGCACTGGAACAGATTGCCCAGGGAAGTTTTGGATGTTTCTTGGATGGTCTCTGGCAGTGTTCAAGGCCAGGCTGGATGGAGTCCTGAGCAACCTGGTCTAGTGAAGTGCCCCTGTCCATGGCAGTGAGGTGGGAACCAGATGATCTGCAAGGTCCTTTCCAACCCAAACCATTCTATGACTCTATGAATATGGTATTTCATTAATCAGTATTAATTTTCTTGGTTGCTTGTTTTCCTCCTTTCATAGATACCTGCATTTTATACAAAACATTCTTGAATCCTTTGTATTTTTTCCAATTGTACTGACACCACTGTATCTCACCCTTTAATGTTTTATGGGTTAAGCTACAAAGATCCACATGAAGGCCAGAACTGCATTGCAGTGATTCAGGCACAGAAAAGAAAAACCTGAGTGTGCAAACATGGTGACAAAGTAGGGATTTACCATCCACATACATGTGAGAAGCTTCAGAAATATGAAAGAATGCAGAGGAAAGCTGCACTGATCCACATGGCACATTCCTACACCTACTGCTAGGGAATGACCACCAAAATATTGGTAGTTTTAGATCAGCAAACAAAATAGTCATGTCTAATTTTTTTAAGCAAAGGTTGTGGTGAAAACAGCAACCACTCTAAGAAAATGTTAAGTTCTGCTGGGTTGTTAAGAATCTGCTAGAGCAGATCTGTTGTTGGGTTACACAAGTACTTCTTTATCTGCAAATCAAAACAATTTGGGTTGGAAGAGACCCTTAAGATGATCTAATGTCAAATTAGATTGATGTTTCAAAGAAGATTCTCTCTCAAGAAGTAAAAACCATCTAGAATACCTCCTCAGGAACATTCATAGCCCAACAAGGAAATAAATGTTTTGAAAACAAGCAGCTTTCTAAGAATGTATGTTTTATGGTATTTCAATCCAGGGAGAAAAAAAATCTTTATGTAAAACATATGCCAGACGCTACAGTTCCAAAGGATATTTTAAAATTCACGAGTTGAGTGCATGAAACTTACATCACCTTAAAGTGAGCAACTCGTACACCAGCAGAGAATTGTTAAGGGTAAGATGGAGATACTTCCTAAGCTTCAAGAAAATAAGGATTTACTACTTAAAGGACAACTGTCCCCTGCAAAATCCAGATGCTAATATGCTGGCTAGTGTCCCATCCTGGACAGCAGTCTCAGGGGATCAGTTTATGACAGTTTCCAGGCAAGGCAAAGAAGGTGTTATTTCAAATGCTCTGCCCTGACACAGGCCTTGTAGGAGGATGGACAAGGCATTCAGCTGCTCAGGCAGAAAGGAAAATAAACTCAGAAGTTATGTTATTCTGACCCATCCCACACATTAGTCAAAACATAACATTAAAAGTAACCTGCTTTGACAGAGCACTTAGTAGAAAGAGATGCATAAAATCTGTGCTCTTTTGTTAAAAAATATTTACAAGTGCTGAAAAGAAGGCACTGTTTTCCCACAGAAATCAGATACAGAATATGTTGATACAGAATATCAACACTTCCTTTATCAACAACTGTGCATTACATACAGCATTTTAACCTACAGACTGTGAATTTCTGTACATTTTTCACCTGAATTTTTTTTTACATCAGATTTTTAAACATCACTTATATATATTCATTCTTTATATTTTCAGAAGAGTGAAGTATGGTAAACAGGAGGACCAAAATATTTTTCTTTAATAATACAATTAATTCAGTTTGTTTTATTTGGTATCAAAAGTACCTGTTTTCATCATATAGTATCTCATGCATTATCATAAACTACCTGTCATAAATGAAGAGTTTGTACAACTGTTAAAATAATTTTTCAGTAGGTTCTAGCTTAAGAGAGGGAGGCACAAGTATCTGCCTATACATTTAATCTTCTTTTCAAAGATAAATACATCTGTTGCAGTTTCAACGCATGCCCAAGATTTGTCTGCTCTTTAGTTGATAGTTTTTTTCCAGTTCAGCCAGTGCTTGAGCCCGTAGATTTGCAGCATAGAGACGCCTTTTGAGATCAGAGCTTTTCCCTTTGGAAAGGAAATAGTTTTCCATATTATGAGGTACAGCTTTCTCTTCATTTCCATCAGAGTGTGAGTTCTTCTTTGTTGTAGAAAGGGGAAGCAGGAGTGCGTTATCTTAAGAAATCAAAAAGTACTGCATTAGTGCATCTTCCAGCATTTATTGCTTTTAACCCTGGTGCCCATTTTGTCATCTACCTATGGCTTTAAGTGATCTAATTAAATGCATCTCCATTAATAGCAACAATTATTTTCTATTTTTTGAGGAAAAAAAAATCAAAACCAAGCCTTTTAAATGACCATGGTAAAAGGATATATGCCATAGCAGTTTTTAGGGTGCACCTCCCAATACCTAAGGAAAGATTAGTTGATTAAGAAGACCTGTTTCTTCTGAAGGACAGAAATTAATTAAACAGTAACATAAGCCAGTTCAAAAAGAAAATGCAGAATGAATTTTCAGCTACTGAAAAAAGCTTTTCTTTGCTTCACAGCAGGGGCACATTCAACCTGTCCAGTAGTCTTTGTGCTTTACCCACATTGTTCCAACTCTATCCTTGAATTAAGTCACCAGGGTACAAATTAGGCTCTGAAATTAGGCTTGTATAAACACAAGCAATCTTAGTACCACTATTAGAGAAACACTTGGTCCATTTGTATGAGAATGGGCATAATTTTAGAAACAGTGTCACAAGAGCACCATGGAATGAAATGGAAGAGCAGCAAATCACATGCTCTACAGATATTGCAAAATTTACTCAGTTTTGTGATAACTACGTTCGCTTTGCTGCATTATCAAGCTCGAGGTATTAACCACCCAAACAGGTTTTGCCTATCCTCAAAAACTAATATGCCTGGTAAAGTCAAAATATCACGTAAAGGGGTGGGAAAGGCAGAAGAGAACAGAAGTAAGAGCTGAAGCTCATTTGCCTTCAGTCATCCAGTTTTAGATGCAACATCAGAAAGCCAAAAGCAAGTTTGTTCTCAAATTCTTTAATGTGTCGATGGCAGACAAGATGTTGAGAGACCGGTGGAATTCTCAAAGTTGACAGAAATGTTAGATACAGCTCAAGGAGCACCCACTTTCTAGGGGCATTTTACTTGTGTCCTTTTCTGCTCTGATAGGCACTTCTTGGAAAAAAAAAAAAAGCTACTTCAGTTTTATTTGCTTCGGAGGCAGTGACATGCTTATCTTGCTTTATCAGACCAAAACTAAATGAAGGGAGTGTTACTGCATGTTAAAGAGTGTTTACATGGCTTTGTTCTAGAGTACTACTTCTGACCCAGCCCTTCACTATCCCTAGCACTATTTAAAAAGGCATTTAAATACTTGAATATTATTTTTAATAAAAGATAGGAGCAATTAACAGATGACACCCTTATGATATCAAAGAATGAACAAGCAAGGGCAAAGTGGGTATAAAATACTACTACAAAACAGATTGGACTAGAGGTAGTCAGGAAGTGTTTTAGTACATTTTCAAATGAGTTTTCCTTTCTATAATAGCAGTGTGTATTCTTCATAGTTTATATGATGCACCCACCAGTCACAGCTGGGTACCTTGCAACAAATAATATTTCCTGTGTTGAAGCTTTTGGACATTTAATGAAAACTGAATTTATTTGACATGTGCAATTTTATTTAAATTAACTAAATCAAAGGTCTGTTAAAAGACATCCATACACAAAATAAGTGCAACTCTGAGAAAGGTTTGGGTTACAAGGAGGCACTTCCCTTAGCTCACCACAAGAACCTGACTTCCCAGACAGCACAAAACTGCAGTGCAAACAGTGCTAACTCAGGCTTATGGTTGAGCATCACTCATTAAGTCCTTCTGCAAAGCAGAAAATCAAAAGTCTCTTCTCAACCTTGCAGCCATAACTGGGCTTTGCCTTGCCCCAAGGGGACTGTGCTGAGCACGCTGAGCACCAGGGACTTTCTTCTGGTCACACCAGACTACATCGACCCGTGCAAGCGCCTTCTGGAGTATTTGCATACCTGGACCTTCCGCGCACGTTACCTCCTGCTGCTGCTTCTGGAGACTGCACCTCTTCAGCAGGCTTTCAGCTCTGGTTTGGGAAGAGAAGATTAAGCTTTTTGTTGCAAGACTGTAGAGCTTCTAATACAGACTATTATAGGTTGGGAAGATACCTAGCAAGTTTGTCCTCTGCCAGTCTCTCCCGAACACAGAGCTCCCGTTCTCTCTCTGGAAGCAGAAATGGTAGTATGCAGCGTGAACATGTAAATGTTAGAGTGACTGTGCATGGTGGGCTTCTCTTACAGGGAAAGACAGCAGTAACAGCCAGTCAGGTGCACCCACACTTCTGATTCTATGGCTCTAAACAAAGGGTAACTGCTGTGTAGATACACCTTTATCAATGCACTAATAAAGCAATGCCAAGTACTCTGAAATGCCAGGCACATTTCTGCCCCAAACTGACGGGTCTGCAACAACAAAGTGATAGCAACTTCCTATTCTGCACATTAACTCATGGCACACATGACACCTGGTTTAAATATTTATATAGCAGAGATTATAATTCAGCTATGATTTAACACCCTGCTTACAACAGCAGCAGCTGCTATTCAGGCTCAGATTAAAAAATACATATGGTTAAGAACTGTATTGCAGAGCCTACTGCATATGCAGAGAGATATTTCATGTTGGCGGCAAATGCCAACACCTGAGGACCAGCCATCTATAGACTCACAGGTAAGCTACCTGTGGGGAGCAGCTTCCATAAAAGCAGTTGACAGTTTACTCAAAGATTTTTTTTTTTTCCAGTATGAGGCTCACCTTAGATTACATGTCAGAATAGGCAATGTTTACTTACACAGTAGGTGAAAAAGCAACCTACACTGCACAGTGCAGACCTTATGTTTCTATACACTTTCCTAACTGCCGCTCACTCATGTTTAATAATCTAAACCAGATTTCCATATCTAAACTGCCAGTTCCATCTTAGTAACTTAAAGAAGCTAGTATAGCAAAGTAAGCCCTGAGCATTCTTGGTTTGGTCTTTAGACACAATTCTAGTGGTGAATGCAGGAATACAGTATCCCAGTAAATTAAAATGGGCGTTGTAAAAACCGTCTACTTTTTCTTCCTCCAACAGAATCAGAATCCCATTGCCACGCCCCTCCCAAAATGGAATAGCATACGCTCCAGACGTTGTTCTCTCTCTTTAATGGCTTGCTCTCGCTCCTGTAACTGTTGCTCCTTTCGTTTCAGCTCACTCGCTACAGCATCTGAGAACTGCAGCCTGTCTGGCTCCCATGATCTCAAGCCTCTTTTATCAGAAATCTGTTTTTGTTCTTCTGTCACCACATCTTCTATCAAGGGATGCCGCAGAATATCTTCAACAGAAGGTCGGCAGTAATCCTAAAGGAAATTAGGAAATGGAAAGGCATTACCAATAGGTTCCATCTGTAAGAAGAAACATTGAGGCCAGAGATTTCCAGGCAAGACCAGCTGAGGGGCTGCAAAGTCAAGGAGAGACTGGAGAATACGTGAGTTAGGAAGCTGTAGCACAGCAGGAGGATAAAAGCTAAGGGAGGAGGCTGTTACCAGCCTTCAGATTCAGAGCTGCAAGACTGTCTCCCAGCCCAGGACCCTCTCCCTGCAGAGTCAGAAGCAGGTGGGTGAGCCTGCAGAGGCAGCTGTCAGCAGATTCCTCAGCAAACACTCTGCTGAAGGTTTGGGTGCTTGTTACAGCTTTGGTGCCCCTGCCATGTTCTTCTCAACTCCCCCACACCAGCTGTGGGGGAACAAACCAAACATTAGCCGTATAAAGCAAGCCACAAAATGAAGAAAAAACAGCCTCTTCCAGCTCCTAAACACACTGGAACCATTTTAACCCTGAAGTTATAAGGCCTCAATAAGCACGCAATCAGGAAATCCCATGTAAGCCAATACTGAGGCCACCTTTTGGCATCCTGTGACCCTGGCATGACACTCGAGCTGCTGCCTTTGTTTGATGGAGCAAACTCCTCCCTCCTTTCTCTATGAGGGACACTGCCAGTGACAAGTGAGCTGCTGCCTTTGTTTGATGGACTTGGAGCAAACTCCTCCCTCCTTTCTCTATGAGGGACACTGCCAGTGACAAGGTGAAAACAACCACTACTCCAGGTAGGTTTGTTTCATAACTGAGAAGAAAAACTAGTATTTCAGCACTAGTTCAAATTATAGGTGGAAAATTAGTAATTGCTTCTTACCTTTACATTCAGCATCTCCTTGAGAAGGTCATTCAGCTCATCTGAGTAACGATACGGTATTCGCCTGACCCTCCCTTCTCTTATCTTTTCTGCCAGCTCCTTTTGGTTGAAAGCTGTAAATGGAGGCCTGAAGGAGAAAATTTTTCTTGGATTCTTTCACTAGTTTTACAGGACTATTTTCAGGGAAAAAAAGTATCAGACTATGGAAAAAAACTGCAGTCAAGGTTTGTTTTGACTAACTAATGTCAAGATCAATAGAGAAATAAAAATCTAGGATTAGTCTCTGAAACCTTTAAGCTTTCATCTATATAAAATATTATCACATCTACATTAGCAGTTATGCTTCCACATTGGTTGTCACACTGCCATACTTACGAGAGAGCACATAATTCATACACAATACATCCTAGAGACCAGATGTCAGATTTCTCATTGTACGACAAGTAGTTCATTTGTTCCTAAAGAAAGAGAACAATCTTAGGTTTATTAACAAAGACATAATTCCACTATTGCAGGATAATCAGCTATTATTCAAACCTGAAATATACGGGAGCAACTACTAATATTCCATCTTACTATGATATCTACTCTTACTAGAAGGATTTTAACTATTTGTGGCAGTACTATGCTGCAGAAGACTGAAGTGTTGCACCAATCTTTAATTGATGCAACTCTATTTCAGCCAACATTAATCTTTCCCATATAAAGTGCCCTGTATCAGGAAAATAAGTAATTCCTGCTCATTTCCACTACAACTCAAAATCGTACCATTAGGAGGTAATTCAATAAGCTATTTACCTTAACAGTATGAAGCATAAAAGCTAACTTCCCTGTTCCTTTTCAGGAACAATATACTCCAACACCTCTAGTGTCCCAACAACATAACCAAACTTATACAGCGAAGAGCAACTATTATCAAAAGGAAATTGATTGTGTGGGGAAGAAAGGAGATGAAAATAACTGCAAAATAACCTCGTCTCCAGAACACACATACTTTATGAAAAAAGTCACCTGCATTCACTAAAAGCTCCCAAACATTCATGGACTCTGAGACCAACACAGCACACCTTGGAGAGGCAAAAGGGAAGATAACGTATAGAAGAGAGGTCTTACTGGAGACATGTAGTATGGAGTGCCAACAAAAGTTGTGGCAAAGCTGGTGTCATGGTGCAATATCCTAGCCAGTCCAAAGTCTCCAAGTTTCACATTCTGTTTGCCATCTAGAAAGACATTTGCTGGTTTCAGGTCACGGTGCACAGTGACTGCACCATCACTCCGTCTGTGACACTCCTTCAAGGCCAATGTTAGCTGAGTCAACACTCTGAGAACAAAGCTTTCATCCAAGAAATGCCTGAAAAATGAACACAATGTTTAATTGATTTTCTGAACACTCATCAGTTTGTTTGGTCATTGTCAGTTTTAGTTCCATAACTTTTTAAGAGTACTGCTATAAAGCACCACTCAAATAAGCACTGTCAGCAACAGGCATCTACGTATTCTACATTTAAAACTGATCTTTTAAAATAATTACTGCAAATATGTTAGATGACATTGAGGCTTTCATTGCAGAATCCCTGCAGTATTTCCTTCCTCCCCCATACCACCTAACAAACACATAGCATTTTCACTGCTAACAAATACCAGTTTGATGCTTTTGTGATGAGATCTGTCCCTTTGATCACTTAAGATAACAATATGTTGTCACTTGTTAATAATGAGCAACATACAATAAGAGGCAAATCAGGGCTGATTTTTTAACACAAAATTCCTTAAATGAAAGCACTGATGCTGGCAGGCAGCTGCAGAACTGTTTTAGACTATGCTCACAAAGTAAGAGGTGGTGTCATATCTTTGTTTGGCCTAAGAATGTGAAAACTGACACTATACTTCAGTAGGATGCTAAGTCTAAAATTAGACCAAGGTGAAGACTTATCAACTTGATGTTTCTCCAAGCTTTACATAAAGGCAAATAAAATAGCTTTTCACACTGCGTTCAAAATCACCCCTCCCTTCCACATGCTTTGGCGTTCTCATAAATCCCAGGGTGCCAGGAGTTTCACTCATGGGGAAGACCATGATGCCTGTCAAAAAGAGCTGTAACCTCCTCGTTTATGTTCTTAACCCCATTCAGAGCCAGAAAGCCCCTACAGCTTCTGCCTGACAGGAGAGCTCTGGGTTTCCTACTAGCACAGCACCAACATCCATCCGGTGATGCAGCCAATTGCACAGCTCCCACCGCTCTTGTAACTTTGACGCTTGAGAAGAGTTGTTGGGTCCAGACGGTTAAACCCGAAACTGCTCGGAGGTTACAAAGCAAGTTTCCCTTCTCTCTGGACCGCCCAGGACCCGTGCAGGGCATTCCAGACATCCCACGTGCCTTTCTTGGGCGCACTTGGCGATCAGGCTGGCCAGGTCTCCCCCATCGCAGTACTCCATGACGATGTACAGCGTGGTGCTGCTCCTGTCGATGATGCGGTCGTAGTAGCGCACGATGTTCGGGTGCCGCAGCTCCCTCAGCAAGTTCACCTCCGACACGAGCATCTGCTTCTCCGACTCCGTCATCGCGCCATAGTCCAGCTCCTTCCATACCAAGATCTGCGGGGGCAGAAACACCCTGGGCAGTGACCGGGGCCGCGCGGCTGCCACCGCCGCTCGCTCGCGTGTCGCGGAGAGCCGCCAGCGCCGGCCAGGGGCGCACGGCCGCAGCGAAGCCGCGCTGCCCCCGCCGCTTCCGCCCGCCGCCTCACCTTGCCGTCGGCCTTGCGGCGCACCTTGCGGCACTTCCCGTAGGAGCCGGCGCCGATGGTGAGCAGCACCTCGTAGTCGTCGGGGCGGCCGGGCATGGCGGGGAGCGCACGGACCGCGCCGGGCCGCGCGGGCCCCTGCGCTCGCGCCGCGCCGTTCAAACGCACCGCCCCGCGGGGTCTGTGCCCATCGCGAGACCGGGGCGGGGCCGGGCAGCCCCTCGCCCCGCCCCGCGGCTGAGGGGGCCGCCCGCCGCTGCTCTGCCCGCTGCGTTCTTTTCGACTTTTTCCCTTTTCCATTTTTCTTCCCTTTCCTTTCTTTTCCTTCCCTTCTTCCTGATTAGACAAATCACCGGACCTGCAGGTATCAATAAGTCGCATATTTATAGCTCCTCAGGAAGGGGCGGGTTTTTTCCATTGAAAATAACAGTAAATCATCACCTTTCCTAAAATGTGTTGGATAGATAATGATAGATAATTCCACTATTCAGAAATATTAAAAAAAAAACCCTAAGCGGTTAAAAATAATGTAGATCTAGGCTGGCTCTGTTGCAGTCTGCAGGTGAGGGAAGAGGAGGGGCAGGCACTGATCCCTGCTCTGTGGTGCCAGTGACAGGACCCGAGGGAACGGCCTGAAGCTGTGCCAGGGCAGGCTTAGGCTGGATATCAGGGAAAGGTTCCTCACCCAGAGGGTTCCAGCTGGCCACTGCCACAGGCTCCCTACAGCAGTGGTCACAGCAGCAGCCTGGCGGAGCCCTAGAAGTGTTTGGGCAAAGCTCTCAGGCACATGGTGTGACTTTTGGGTTGTCCTGTGGCAGGACCAGGAGTCGGACTCGATGATCCTTGTGGGTCCCTTCCAACTCGTGTATTCCGTAAAAATCATCCTTTAAAACCAGTGCAGAAAGTTTTTCATAAGTCTTCAAAAATTCGCTCATGAGTAGCTACCAAAGTCGTGGCAGCTTTCCTGTCCCACCACGTATGAACACCCATGGTACAAACCCAGTGTACACCCTTACACAAACCACCTGCTGAATGTAATGGCTTAAAATGTGGTATTTGGAAAATGCACTCTGTGGGTCCACATCCCAACCAGCAAATACCGTGGTTACATTAAATGGCACTGAGTAACGCCACAATGGCATTGCATGCATTTTAAGAAGAATGTAGTGTATTTTCTAGCATCATTTATGATAAGGAATGATGCCAAGGTGCAGTTCAGGATTCAATTTAATCTCTATCCATGTGGCAGTAGCTGTGACTGGAGCAGGAACTCCTTCAGCAAAGCATTGTAGCATATTTATAGTAATATAGAATCATCATGGCCTGGGCTGGAGGGGACCCTGAAGATCACCTTGTTCCAACTGCCTGCCATTGGCAGGGACACCTTTCCTGAATCAGGTGTGAAAGGGAGCAGCTGGATGTCCTGACCTAGAAATTCAGCAACAGGACAGAGTAGTTCCTCATTTTGCATCTCCACATGCTCTCAATTATTTCCCAATTTTGTTTCAGCTTTGAAATAGGTGTGAGTAGGTGTCATGCTATGACTGAATATTTATGAAATAGTCTTCTATTAGTCTTTGGAAAAATCAAAACCTTTACTTTTATCATCAGGAGGCACAAAAACTCCTGCTGTCCATTACAAAAATTGTATAGACTTCTATCTGTAGAGAATGTATGGTCATTGCAGGGAAAAATAATCAAATGAATTCTACTGCGTAAAGATATTTTGGTTTTGTAATTAATGAGTAACAGGGTGATCTAAAGGGTTCGTGTTTATTACTGATTTCAATTACCTTGAAGGAAAATCATCACGTGCACCATTAGCATAGTGAATAAATTATGGCATTGCACAATAAAAATGACAAGCAGTACAGTATGTATTATTCAGGCTGTAAGCTTCATTACTGGTTTCAAATATCTCAATTTCCAACTTCTGTATGTTCAAATTAGCAAAAGGTCATTGTGCATTCCCACTGATATCAATGGGAGCCTTTCTATTTATATTTCAAAAGAAATAGAGTAGGATTTCAATACTGTGTTTTGTCTAGGCACTATCTTAAAAGTTTCTCTAGAAATGTTGGTTTGAATCAGAGAAGTGTCAAAATGTCATGTTTCAAAAGCCAGCAGCAGAGTCATTTTACTTTTTATTATACTTACTAAGGGCTGGCTAATTTTGAGAAAAATGCATTTCTAAAAGTGGTTATTAAAATTTTTGACAGGCACTCCATTTTCTTTCTTTCTTATTTTTGCACTTTTAAAAATTATAAGATTTTTTTTTCCTTTTATATATGGACAAGTAAGCCCAGACACGAATAATTCCAAAACTATATATCAAGTTTGAAATGGGGGCCACTTATGTCATGTATTGTATTTTCAATTTGGGTCTCTGGTTCAGGAGCAACTCACATTTCTAGTCCTGAAAATACATGTGCTGACTTCAGGCCCTCAAAAGCCACCAAATAGTTCTCAATAACATATTTATAATGTTTCTTCTAATATTATATTCTACTTTTAACATTTTTTTTAATGTCAAATTTCCCAAAACTGAAACAAAATAAAAGTACTCTTTGGTAGTTGCCCACCAAAGTTTTTCAGTTTTGATGACGTGTCCTTTGTGCTGTAAGGAGTACATTTTCTCTTATTCCAGGACCTAGTTATCTGACAAAATATTAAGTGCTGAAGATAAATAGTATGGTAGGCAATTTGATATTTCTCTAAAGATACTTTCTTTTTTGCATGTGGAAATAGGTAAAAATAAATGTGTAACATTTTGCTGTGAAAGTCCACAACACAAATAAAACATAATATTATTGTACAGATTGATAGCAAAAAAGTGTGGTAAAGTACTGAAGGAAGTTAAGTTATGTTTCTGGCAGATTTTTTTTTTTTGTTTTGTTTTCCAATCAGAGAAGATTGCACAGGTGCAGAAAGTGAAAATAAGCTCAATAGGAAAAGTACTGAAAATGAAACCATAAAAATGATTAATAATGAAAAATAAATGCACTTTATAAAAACAATTAGGAAAACAACTGAGAAAAATGTTTGGTTTTCTCTTTTCAGAGAGGTGAAAGACATGTAAAGACATAGTCCAGGAACTCAAAAATGTGCCAAAGGCTTCTAGCAAAAAAAGGAGGAGTTGAGTATTCAATATGAGACAGGTAAGAGGTCTTAGAAATATTTTTACAGGACAACAAGAGGACTTATAAATACTGGAGTGACTGAGACAATGAGTGTTTTATTTGAGTGCATTTTCACCACAGAAGTAGTTTGGGGTTTTTAACATTCAGTTGCATTTGTCCTCACATATCTTTATGCACATTGAGTTTTCCCCCTCACTTTCTCTCATTTGGTCCATGCCCAGACATTTTACATTTACCCTGTCGTACATAGGGTACATTGTTGTACATTTACATCTGTTGTACACAGATGACATAATATTTTGGTAATGTTTTGGTTATGTTTACTGACTTTAACATCAAAAATCATACACAGGATCACCAAAAACTGGGATATTAGAGAGAAACACACTAAAAAGTACCAGAGGGTAAAATTTCCCTCTATTGCTTTGTGAAGGAAACAAAGAATGTGTTCATTGAAGAAATCCTGTACAACACAGATGTGGACAGGACAGCAAAGGAACAAAATTGAGCAGCATTAATTCTAGTATTTAAGACCATGCTATTTTTCATCTTCTGTACTGCTTGGATTCAAAGGCAACTGAGACTCCAAGAGCAATGTGTGCAGCAAAGCAAGCTCCAGTGAGGGAGTTTGTTGCACCAGCTGTACCTTGAAGACAAACCATTCAGATGAGGAAAACATAAACTCCCTTGAAATAAATTCAGCAGTAGGTCAAGTCTTGACACAAGGGACTGTAAAATTGACAGGCTAAGAGGACAGGAATCAGTGAGGAGGAGACTGAGGAGAAAAGACACATTTTTGCATTCAGAAAGGAGCATATGAATTCTACTATCTCCAGGTTTTTTATTATCCATTCCTTATGTTCTGTAAAGTAATATTTAAATCCAGTGCACAGCTGGGCATTTTGAAAGTGTGTAATTACTTGCTCTCTTTCTTGCAATTAAACTAATAGCCCTATATGTTATATTTGTCTTCATATATATGCTAATTTTCAAAATAGTATTCATTAACCTTAAGAACAGAAAGTGCTTGAATTGATCTTTAAGACCACTGTTTAAGCTGATTAAAAGACTGATTATTTGACATGTATAGAACTTCAAGAGAGAAATTATGGAGTGTCCTTAAATCCTTAATAAGTTAAAATTAAAGTATTGGGATTGTCTCTAAGGAAGGATTCTATAAGTATGATAATCCATGATTTCTGTTGGCTTGCTTACTAAGTCAAGGAAAGCAGACAAGTTTAGGATCTGTGCCTCAGTTTATCCTCTTTTGAAAGGGAAACTTTCCAGATTAAAATTCATATCTAGGAACTCTCAAAATGCTCAAAAAATGCTTTAAGTGATACAGTAAGTAAATATTTTGCTGTAAGTGATACAGTAAGTAAGTAAAGCTGCTTAATTTTTTTAAAAGCAATATTAGAGTTTCTTATTGTGGAACAGCCGGTCTCAAATGTTTTATATGAATTTATTTGTACTTACAGTACCTTCAGATATATTGGGAGAAAATTTTTCAAGTTTTTCAATATATTTCAAGGAAGTTTTTCAGCCATCACCAGAATTCCATACACCATTATTGTCACAGATACTTTCATTATGAGGTCAGTCACTATTTGCCAATGAGATAACCCCAACAAACCCATGAGATAATCCCAATAATAAGATTCCTCCCTGCCTTGATTCTCCTGTGGGAGAAAAATGCACAGAATTCACATTAAGGTCACATCATGAGCAATGATGGCAGAATCTCTTCCAGGTTCTGTCTCAGGTCATCCCACCTGCAAAATGTGGAGAAGCTCCAGCTTTCCCTGAATGCAGCACCTTTCTGTGCACTTGGAAGGGATGGTGCCAAGGCAGTGTGGTAGTGTACAGAGCCTCTGGGAACAGGTGGCACACAGAGGAGCTGATGGCAAATGTAGTCAGCTGCCTTTGCTGGGAGCTCTAACAAGCATCCTGGGGGCAAGAGGCCTTCATTCTTAATCACGTGATGATAAAGTTGAAAATACTGATATTAAAAACTATTGGAAAAAAAAGTGGCTTGAGATTGTGAAATATTTGTTGAAAGTTTTGAAATGTTGTGCTGATTATCCTGTCACCAAAATTCTGAGATAGATTGTAGCCAGGGAAATTTAGGAATTTGACAGCTTGGGAAAATCACTGACATTTTATGTACTATGCACAGTATTTTGCCTTTTACATTTTAACAAAAATGTGTGCTTAGCTAAGGACTGTCCTCCTTGCTTCCACAAGTGGCAGAGCAGTGTCAGGGAGACTGTCATCAGGGTTTTGTTTCCAGTAAACAAAGACCTTCTGTTACTCTCTTTGCCTCTCAGAATCCTACTGTTAAAGACTCTTTTCCACTATGCTGTTTCTGTTTTTAAGCTTCCAGATAAATTGTTGTATGCATCAGTGGAAGGCTTTATAAATAAAAGAGAGAATTAGAAGAGGAGGAGGAACAAAAAATGAAAGAAAGCTTTCTAGCATTTTTATGTTGACAACCTATGTTTTCAGGAAAGTACATTATAAATGAAGGACTTACACTGCATAAAATCCACAAAAACTCTGTGGGTTTCCTAAACCAAAATGTTGTTAAATCAAAAAGTTTTCATGTGCCTCAGTAGTGTGCAGAAAACCATGCTGTGAAAGGCCAGTGTCCACAAAGGAGATAGAGGAGCCCTGCAAGAATCTGCCTTGCCTTGTTTTGCACTCGGGAAAGGGTAAGCCACAGTTGTAACAATCAGATTGTGAGACCACTTCAGATGGCAGAGATTTATATCCATGGAATCAAAGTCACAGGGGAATCTGGGCTGCTTATTTCTTAAGTCTGATGTTCTGCTTTGCAGTCAGTGAGTTTTGAGGTGGGAGAAAAAAGGATTTCTTACAGATATTTTTTTTGAGTCTATAAATAAGGACATTTCAATGTATGTGAATATAGTCATTCTTTTTTCAGTTGTGTTGAGGACCTTGAGATCTGTGACAGAAGGGATTCTCTCTTAAACTCAGGGACTGACAAAATATAGGGACAGGACAAGGGGAAGTGGCTTTAAACTGAAAGAAGTCAGGTTTAGATTAGCTGTTGGGAAGAAATTCTGTACTGTGGCATTGGTAAGGCACTGGCACAGGTTGCCCAGAGGAGCTGTGGATGCCCCATCCCTGGAAGTGTTCAAGGCCAGGATGGATGGAGCTCTGAGTGACCTGATCTAGTGAAGGGCGTCCCTGCACATGGCAGGGGGATTGGAGCTGGATGATCATGAAGCCCCCTTCCTACTCAAACTGTTCTGTGATTCTGGCAGGATTGCTTGTATGAGTCACACTGAGCTCACCAGCCACAAGTTCAGCATCGTCAGCACAGGGACGTTTGGTCAGAGCTCTTGGTTACATTCCCTGCTCTCTCAGGTGATATCCCCAAAGGGCCTTGGCACCTCTGATGAGCAGAGCAAAAAGTATGTCCTCTGAACGAGTTGATGGCAGTGGCACCAAGTGTGCATCCCTGTGTCTGCTGGCAAGAGAAACTGAAGTGCTTTAACAGTCCTTATACTCACAAGGCTTCTAGTCACCTGCAAGAGGAATGGGCAGCCTGCCCCTCTCTGAGCCACCTTCAATCTGTGTGAACTCAGGAAACCTTCCTGCCACAGTGGCACAATGGTTCTGATTCTATTTTGCTGGTCTCTTTGTCAAAACACATATTTTAAAATTTTTTTGTGCTTTCTGTGGGAATTGTTTGACAATGACAGCTGTCTAGGAAGTCTTAAAGTGGTGCATGGATCTTGGAGCAAAGTTGGAGACTATGGCAAGTGGGCTACATCAGTAAGTTCAGAGCCTTCATGGAAGAGCTGTGGTTTTTGAGAATAAAGGAGAATTTCTCTTCTGCACCTATATTTGCTGCTTTTTTAAGCTGGCTTCACAGTTAACCAGGATTTCTCTATCTCAAAACCTTTTTCATTACCTTTTCATACTTTTTTTTTAAATTTCCATTTAATTGCAGTGTTTCTGGGTTTCTAAGACTTTCTGATTTTTAAGATACTAAGAGACTTTCTGGGTCAGAAGACGAGTCCCAGCTTTATCACACCACAATACTGAATGTGGTAAAAATCCCTAAAACCATATGTGAAAAAACAAAACAAAAAATCCCCACTCTTCAGATAAAGCAAAGGAAAAAATTTGATTCACAATCTGCTTCTGCAGAAGGCCTCATTCATCCTATATGTGCAATTAATTATTCAAATAACTTGTTGAAAATTAATATAATTATTTCTAATTATTCTTGGTTTGCGTCCTAGAATTATGTGATTACATCTAGATGCATGCATCATAAATGAAGATGGAATAGGCTAGATGAGGAGGAAACATAATTTTATTTTTCAATTTATTCATTTTTACTAGATAAAAATATTCACAAAGTTTAATTTTCATTATCCTAAACAGAGGTTCACTGAACTTATCTTTATTACATTTCTTTTGGTAAGTTAAGTGGTAGAACATCTGCCCTTATGGAGGCAAAATTCACTGGTTTTTAATGTTTAGAAAGGTTAAAAAGCACCTTAGAGTTGAGTGATTGATGTGCAAGTAATGTGATTGTGTGTTTCCTTTCTACAAAATCAAGCCTATAGTGCTAAGATGAGTAGGTTATTCCCAGGAGAATATAATCATTGGAGAAGCAGTAGTTAATTCAAAGTTAGTTTGTTTTTAATCCATCTCAGTTTTTGCCTTTCTCTCATGACACACATTTGAATTTCATGTTTCCTTCTACAGTAAATTCAGCTATGTTCTTATGATTGTCTAGCACAGGTGCTTAAGTAGGTTTCAGTATGTATCAGATAAGCATCTGAACTTGATTTTTTTACATCTTTATTAAAAGCCATGACAAAGCTACTGCGTCTCATTCTTTATTAAAAGCCATGACAAAGCTACTGCGTGACAGCAGAGAGTAGAGTAGGCTAGGATTGACTGCTGAAGTGAAATCACTCTGCAAGCAAAGTTCAAAATTGATTGTAAAGGTCTTTTGTTAAGACCACATTTATTTA